GTGGTCTTCCTCCTTGCCCTTTTTGAACTCCATTATCTGACAATTTGCTGGGCTGTGGTAGGGAAGGGGCCTAGGGGTCTGGATCTGTGATAAAGACACTACTGATACTTCTCTTTGATCTTTGCTAGAATATGCACATGCTCAGTTTATTGTGCTTTTCCGAGTATTCCATTGCCTCCTCCATTGCCTCCAATTCTGGGCGGGTGTGACCCGTCCTATTTCCTGCTTCCTCGTGATCCTTTGCATTGACCAAGGTGTGTCATTTTCTACAGAACTCATCCTTGGTGGTGGATTTTTTTTTTTGAGTCCCAGGTACCCTGGATCATAGAATGTTTCTACAAGGAAGGACTGTCATTGTTCCCGCTGGGGTTTGGGAGTGGGTTACTCCTGGACATGCCCTTCTGTAAGTTATTGGCTTGGGGTTCCTGCCACGCGTTCATGGTATAAATCTGACTCTGACCCAGAATCAGGCTTGGTGTCCCTGTTCCTCAGGTGACACTTGCTCCCTCACTCATCTCCCGGGGCCACTAGGCCCCGTCCATGGGCTTTATGCAGGGTGACTGCTAGACACCTGCAGCCCACTCCTCTTGGTTCATGGTTTGCTTAATCATCATTGTGAAATTATATAGGCCGGGCATGGTGGCTCAGCCTGTAATCCCAGAACTTTGAGAGGCCAAGGCGAGAGGACTGCCTGAGCTCAGGGCTTCGAGACCAGCCTGGGCAACTTGGGGAGACCTCGTCTCTACAATAAATAAAAAAATGAGCCGGGTATGGTAGCGAGTGAATGTAGTTCCAGCCGCTTGGAAGGCTAAGGCGGAAGAATCACCTGAACCCAGCAGGACAAGGCTGAGGTGGCTGTGAGTGTGCCACTGTACTCCAGCCTGGGCGACAGAGTGAGACTCCAACTCAAAAAAAAAAAAAATTATATAAAGCTTTTTGTCAAAAGTGAGCATGTTTTCTTTCTTTTAAGGCACCCATGCCCTTTGAGCATGGCTGTTTCCTTCTAATAAATTCTGTCTTAGGCTGGGTACAGTGGTTCAGCCGGTAATCCCAGCACTTTGGGAAGTTGAAGCGAGAGGACTGCCTGAACCTGGGGGTTCGAGATCAGTCTGGGCAACTTGGTGAGACGTCATCTCTACAATAAATCACACACACACGAAAAAAACTAGCTGGGCGTGGTGATGTTTGTCTGTAGTTCCAGCTACTTGGAAGGCTGAGGTGGAAGGAACGCCTAAGCCCAGCAGGTCGAGGCTGCGGTGGCCATGAGAGTGCCACTGCACCCCAGCCTGGGCGACAAGAGTGAGACTCCAACTCAAAAAAAAAACATTCTGTCTTAAACTATACTTGGGACTCACTCTGAAATTCTTTTTCTGGCCAAGTCAAAGAACCCACAGAGCAACACACCGCACGCTACCTGGCATCAATACTTCTAGTTCCCTGGTTCTCCCAGACCCAGAGGCATGTCCCCCGACTGGTACGTCACAGCCCAATCTCTCCCAGGCAGGGTCCACCTCCAGCCTGGTACCAGCATCTCTCTCACACGTCCTGGCTTTGCATTTCCCTCTGTCCCCAGCACCAGCATCTGAGGCCTGGCTGTGTTTTAATATGTGCTGTTGTACTGTATCCAGCTGCACTTGGGTACGTTTAGCCTGCCTGGCTCCTGGACGTCCACCTCGTTCCTCCCTCACCTCCCTGCGACTGACTCAAAGGTGGTGAGAACGACCCTTCTACCGGCACCATCTCGCCTGTCAGGACTGCAGGGTGGGAGGCCGCTTTCTCCTCCCAGGGTCGAGGACCCTCTGCTGCCTGGAAGCATCTTCAGTGCCTTTGGGAATCCTGAAACGAGTTCCCATCTCCTCCTCCCAGGTTAACGTGTCTGCCAGGGTCCCTGCAAGTTCCTCTGTCGCCACAGCCCTGGCCATGCACAGGCGGGAGGGTTGAGGGGAGCAGCTGTAGGGGAGAGGACGATCTTCGCCACCCGTGACAGGAGTCGTTAAGGAATGAAGGCTCCAGCATGCAGTTGGAACCAGCGTCCTCCCTGCAGCGGCCCTGGCCCGGGGGTCCCCGTGGGGTCACCAGGCGGGTGGAAGGTGACGGCAGGTACCCGCCGCAGCCAACCCACCTGAGGAAGCCTGGGGCCGGCATGCCCCTGCCCCATTCCCTCCTGTCGCGGGTCCCTTTCTCTTTGTCACTTAGGAGAGACTCGGCTTCGTTCCAGACCAGCAGCCTAGAGCCGGGGGCTGGAGGGGAGAGATGCCGCTGAGCTAGGGCAGCCTGGCGGCGGAAGGGAAAGTGGGTGATAAATTTAAATAACCAGCTTGACTTGGCAGCTTGCTGAGTTGTGATGCAGTGAAATTAAAATCTCGGCAGAACTTGCAAACACCACCCAGCACAATCAGTCTCTCTCCTCGGTTCCCTGACACCAGGTGGGGAGGGGAGGCCACGGGGCCCGGGGTGGCCACCCTTGCCTGTGATGTGATTAGTTGTGTCCTGGCCCACTGGGCCCTGCTCTCCCCCACACAATAGTCCAGGCTCCTCTCCCCTCTCGGTCCTGACCTTGTGGAACAGCCGCATCAAGGGGCTGGTGAAGTTTGAAATCAGCCTCCAGTGCCAGGAAGTGGCAGGAATACCAATAGGCCCAGGGCCGAGGGTCGGGCTGCGACATCCCTGGGCTGGCTCCCTCGGCCTCGGGCCCTCCGGTTTACGGCCTCCGCCACCGTCCCCCGGGGGGAGATAAGAGCGGGTGCTGTTGCAGCAGGGATGGACAAGGGCCCCTGGAACACCCTGGCACGCCCAAGCCCGTCTGCGGGCACAGGATGCCCCTGCTGCGTGCCTACCGGAAAGCGCCTCCCTTTTCCTTCCTCCACCAAAGCCCTGAATGGCCTCCAACACGAGAAGCTTCTTAAGAGGCTTTGAGGGGAATTTCTGCAAATGCGCCGAGAGCCTCTCCCCACGCCAGCCCTGCCTGGAGCCTGGTTCTCCGCCATCTTTCTAGAAGACTCACCCCAGGTCCGCCTCCCCTGCGTCCGTCCTCATATTATCACTTCCAGCTGCCCACGGCGTCCCGCCCGAAGGCCACCCGCCGGGCCGCTCCTGAGCGGCCCACGGTCTCTGGACAGCACCCC